ATAATAAATATACTTTATTACTAGCTGAAGTCATCATTTTTCAGCTAAAGTCTAAGTTACAGGCTGACTTCAGGTCTGGTTTAGATCATTGTTATTTATAAATTATATATTTTTCTGGTATAAATCTGCTGTTTTACATGATTGTTGAATGAAATTAACATAGTTTATTAATTTATTGTAAAAACATGACAGATAATCTGTGAAACAGATCCAGTTCAGCTGTTGTTTATTAGTTTCTATGGAGGCTGTGAACTGTTGCCCTTTTAGACACCATTTTTGCTCCTCCATGCTGTCACAGACACTACCAGTGTACGGTATGGGCGGGYCTTAGTCTAGTGATCTATATATTTAAGTCTATGGTACATCAGAAATAAAATCATTCAAAATTTACTCCTGTGTATATTAGCTATGACTCTCCAACTTTATGAAGACCGTGCCCAACCCCGACCATCAAACATGTAATTTAGGCCGGGTCGGGTTATAAATCTAAACTCTATGTTGCATTTGAGTAATTGGCCTTTCTTTTGAAGAAAACACTGCACTGAAATAATCACTGCTCTGCCTGAATCATTATCCATCAAACCCACCTCGGCCATGTCTGAAAACTCCCCTATTCCCTTAACTTATTTGTGGCCATCAGATGATTATGCTTCAGCATATCAGATCAGACACCAAACTCTATTATGAACAAACGCATTTCTAGATCAATCACTTTTATATTTATATGCAAACAGTGACATTGTGGAAAACTTGTCCATCTTCTTTGTAATCCACTCTTTCCATTTATCTATCTTTTTAATTTTCTTGCTAAAATATTTATGCGAGTGACTCTTGCTCTGTATTCTGGATGAACAGTCTAATCACGGCATCTTTTCAGATTCATCCATTCCCTCCATTTATGCAAACAAGTCTTGTGCAAACAATCCGAAACAGCATGACTTCGTCACAGGAATGTGAGTCAAACAGACCAGCTTTGTCTTTGTAAAGCACACACCTGAATGTAAAAAAGAAAAAAAAGGTGATAAACAGTTTATCTGCTCCAGAAATAACTTCATGCTGTCAGCATGTAGACTGCAAAAAGAACCAAACAGCAGTGGAGATCAGGGGGAAAAGCTGGGGATTAGAGGAAAATAGAAGCAGTGATGAAAAGGAGGCAGACTTTTTTTTTTCTTTAACTTATTTAGCTTTTTGAATATAAGGATGAGCTGGTGTATTGAATAGAGACTAACAAGACCAGGAGAAAACAGGAGATTGATCGTGCTCTTCCTGTTTATAAAAAAAATACAAAACCATTAAAAATTATTATTCATAGAGCAATTAGTTTAACTAATAAAGCAGACAAAAACACCTGAAAGTGTGAACCTGAAACATACAAGGAACATAAGCCACTTTATTTCCTATATTCAAGCTCTGAATCTGTGCGTTTTCGATTTGATGCTGTTTCTGTGTACATCCTGGAGTAAACTTAGCGACAGTAAARGCATTTTACTGGTAGCCAGATTTGGGAAGAGCTTTAATGAGTGAATGAGTCATAATTCAAAATCTCTCCACAGGAAGTGCTGAGAGGAATCCAGTTTGATGCGACTCAACGGCTCTTTGAGCATATGCAGAAGCAGCTCAGTGCTTGGATCCAGAAATAARGAACTGCTTCCCTTATTCCCTCGATCCAGCCCAGACTAGAGCCCCACTGAGACTCAGGTGGCACATACCAGCAGCCTCCTGACATGTGATAATCAGGGCTCTTTTCTTAGACTTGCTCATTAGTGTGTGTGTGTGTGAGCAGCTTCTATGTTTAGCATTTATATCTTATTTCATGAATCCAAAGCAGAAATAATST